CATATTGGAGTAATCATCTTACAGTTTTTCATTTTTGCCTTTAAGGGTAATGACAGGATCCAACGTCAAGCTAATTCTGCATCAAGACGGAGGGAAATCGAGAATACTATCATGAGGCTCGACCTGGTATATGTATATATAAACTAATAAAATATCGGAGATATATATATACACATGTATAGATCCACTTCTGTTTCGATTTCTACTGGTTATATCTAACTCCTTGACTAATATTTATATATGTTTTTGTTGTTAATTATGGAAAAGGTTGCTACCCGACTAGAATTGATGTTAAGGACTGTCCAGCAACTTCGGAAGAATTTCTGTAAGTTGTAATAAGTACGTTTTGCTGAGCTAGTTAATATATAAACACACACACACACACACCCACACACATATTATGTGGTTATTTTCTGTTTGTATGGATAACTAATTATTATTACTTTAAATTTTCAATGCACACAGGTGAGAAAACAAAGGATGAATACCAAGGTAAGGACAAGGATAATGGAGATGGGAAGCCGGATCAAGATCAAGGGCCACCTGCCATTGTCTGATCAGCCAAACAGATCTTAGAGATTGCTGGAGTTTATGATATTATATATGTAATCTAATTGTCTTTTTTCTTTGCCTATCATATATATGTATGGTGCTTATTAATCGATAAAATAAATAAACTATATTTAGTTGCCCAAAAACATTAATGAAAAGTCTATCTTTATATCAAGCAGACATTTTTTTTTTTCTATATCGCTTTATATCTTTCATACAGATAAATAAGACATGCTCGACGTAATAAAACTTTGCACCAATATTTTTGCTCGACGTAATAAAATAAGACATGCATGCTCAACGTAATAAAACTTTTGCATCTATACTTCGAAAAGAAGAAGAGTGAAGCATTAAAAACAAGCTTGTCTGTTTGATCCAACCAATAGATACCATTTATTCAACTAATAGATTAATTAACATCATGTGGACATTGATTCAACTAAAAACTACAATGTATCTCTCTCCCAATCTTAAACTCCAAGACACTTAAACATTACGAAGTAATTTAGAAGTCAAAAAATACATATACATACTTACACGCAGAGCGTTGAACTTTTAAAACCAAAGCTATATATACCTATTGTATAATCAATAAAGTAATGCATAAATATATATTTAGTATAACTTCATTAGTTATCCAGTGATAGATAATCAATGAGTTCTTATGGGTCTTTCAAGGTTTTAGATGGTTTTGATCCTTGGTTTTTTTTACTGGTGTACATAAGTACAATTTTTTTCTTCCAAGATTATGATTGATACTGAATTAAAAAACAAAAAATTTGTTAAAATTTGATTTTACAGTGTAAGCACTTACAACCTATTCAGAAAACAGAAAAAACTGAGGACATCAAGTTGACTCAATAAGTAGAAAACATTAACTGCAAATGAACTGTGCCTGAGCATGGGATTCATGTGCCAGACCTAGCGACATATGGAAGGATTTCATGCACCAACAACTAACAAGCACATTGGTCAACTTCTCATTACGAGACTTCGGGCAAACAAGGGGCCAACACTAGTGAAGTTAAACCTGAAGTAGATAACTTGCAAAAGTACTCTAAAACGTGCCATTTTTTGTCACTCTCTACTAGGGTTGAGTTTTTCTTGCGAAATGGAATTTTTCTGGGGAATTAAAGGTTAAATAGAACAGAATCAAATTTTTTATGAAGAAAAATTAGATATTAAGTACTTTTTTGCAAGATCAATTTTACACCGGCTGGAAGGACAGACTAAAGAGATGAGGGACAGATGGGTCCCAAAAGACAAAGGTGATAATGGGATTGGTAGATGGATAACTAAAAGGCACAACTGGCTCTATATGCTATAACAGAAGAAAGTCAAATATTACCATGGGTTGCTCTTGCCATCGAAGAAATTGCTACATGGATACTTATAACAATACCTATGACGAAGAAATATTCTCATACGGAAAAAGTGTAGATAAGATATATTATCATACTCTATAGCAAATATATAACCTCTTTGGTAATTGAAGCCTCTAAACTATGTAAGACTTTTATTATGTCCTTTATATTGCTAATATGGCAAAAAAGTTAATTGTAATTGAAGGATTAATCACTAGGGATAAGCCAAACTCTTGGATTATCAGGATAATATCCAGAAATTCAATCAACAATACTCCATCAAAATTTTCTACTGGAGAGAAATCAAACTCATTATTAAATATCAAAGATAAGTGAAAATCTTGACACTCTTGAAGAACAGATTGAATTATGAGGATTGATATTACCTATTAAATCAAAAAATTATTTTGTGAGTGCTTATAGAGATATCAATTACAACAATAAGAACTAACTACATAAGAAAAAGATCATCTAGCATATATCCTCTTCTGCTGCAACATTCTCCCTGAAGCTAAAGTCTACACAAGCTCTCAGCTTATTACAAATAACCTACAGTAAATAAAGAATTTCCAACATCGATAAAATCAGTAACAATGAAACAATAAGTAATAACTTGATGAGTTCACAAACTGCCACCATCAACAAACTCAACCACCAACTTGCAATGAGATCACCAAAAAAAATTCAACTACATATATCAAAAGAAAAACAATGGGCTCAATTAATGAGCAACAAAGAACTGGAAACTGTGGCAGAAATATTTTGCCAATTCCAGTGAACAAGAAGCAATTGTTAGTTGGATAGCAACAATTTATGGCACATGTTTTTTTAAAATTGTTGTGGCAACTAGCCCTCCCTCACTATCTTTCACAACTTATTACATACTTATGCCTAGAGCAACTAGTCCTCACTCTTCCTGAGCAAGAACTTTTAAAGGTTATTCCCAAATTTTCACAGACTACTTTGGTTGTAATTAAACTTCCGTCCACTTAGCAACAAACACTAAGAGCAGTTTATAATTAATGAACAAGCTTTTCGCTTTTTTGTTCTTTCCAAACAACTACATCTCATAAACTCTCTGAATATACAAAACAACTCTGTCCCATATCATTCGTAGAATTCGTGTTGCTTAACATAACCACTAAAACCAGAATAACAACAGCAGAAACATGAAGAAATATAGAAATCACCCTATAACCTCAACAATGAGCCTCAAAACCTACACAACTCAGTCATTAATTATATACTTTCCACAGACAAAGTAACTTCATCAGCACAGGGGATTCATGTGCCAAAGATTAGCCGCACATGAGAAAACTCCTATTGATGGGATCTCAGGCAAACAAGCCACCAACAGTTGAGGAAAATCTTAAGTTAATGATCAAGGAAAGTACTCTTAAACAAGTTCGTTTGTGTAAAGCGAAATCAGATTTTTGTGGGGAATTGAAGGGTCAAATAGACAATAACTGGCATTTCTTTTATGAAGAATAGTAATTCTGCTTTTTTTTCTTCTTTTAAACCATGCTTTTTAGAAAAAAAACTTTTTTGTCTTGGAGGATTGCCTTGAAGGAAAGAGATGAAGGAATATGGATATAGAAAGACAAAGTTGATAAGGAGATAGTTTTCACTTTTTTCCTTTTCATTGTAGATGGCTACAAAGAACACTATACTTGATACCATACAAAAGATCAAAGTAAAATATTATTATGTATTGATCTTGTCAGTAAACCGAAGATATTGGTAGATTGGTATTCATAAGTAGACAGAATATGGACTAAGAGTAGAAGACTAACCACATAAGAATCTGACAATAAGGGAGAAAGCGGTATAAATATTCTCTTATTCTATAACGAATATATAATTCCAAGTTGCTATAACTGTGGCAACAGCAATATTCCTGGATTCCATGATCTCAACATTTCAAAAATAAGCAAAGACGGAACTAGAAAAATATTAAAAAGAACATCAGTGATCTTGATAAGGAAAACAGGCCATCAGGCAAATGACGTTCATAACTACCCGCAATTGAAACAAAATGCTTCTGCATGCAATTATGTGAATCCAGAATTTGTTTCTACTTCAATCAGTCAAGCAATTAGAATATATAGAAGAAACCTAGTGGTTAATGAACCCCAATTAAGACCATCACATGTCAGGATATCTGATTGCATAAACTTGAATTCAATTATCTAGTTTACTATTTGCAAAGCATTTCTAGCTTCTACGAACGAAAACAAAGCCATCTCATGAAAATTCTTTTAAACAAATTGTTGATGCAGTGTCCAGAATTTCCTCAAATTTCCAATAAACTTCATTCAAAATTTACATCCACTAGGCAGAATTCAGAACAATTAATGAAAAGGAAAGCATACTCCACAAAGGGAAAAACCTTAAGGGGAAAAACATGAAAGAACTGAAATCTAGGGAAGCAAATAACCAGAATTAGCAAGTAAAATATAACAAAGAAATGATAAACAACCCTAATTACCAGCTTCGGAATCAACACGATCACTCTCCATATTTGAAACAAAGTGACAAATTTTTATGAAACAAAGAACTACCCAGGAACAAATAACCTCAGAAATGAAAAATCAAAATCAGAAAAGGACACTAAAAATATAACAGATGGAAAAAAGAGAGATTTTTAAAAAAAAAAACAATACCAAAGACAAGTAAGAAAGGCTGAAGACCATAGAAGACGCAAATTGTATCAGTAACCAGCCTGCAAGAGAGAACAGATCATAGATGCAGTAACATGGCGAAGATGATTATGAGTTTCCATTAAAAGGAAGAAACGAGTTTTTTGGTAATAGAAGTTAATTTTTTTTCTTTTTTCCTATTAAAAGAAAAATATATGTCATTCATAATAATTCAAATTTAATGTTTTATTATTAAATAAACTTTAATATATTTTTTAAAATATAAAAATAATAATGAAAATATGATAATTTTCTTCTAGAAGGCACAAATAAATATAGGTAATCTAGTATTTCTAAAATTTATTTCAGAAAATACATTATATTTACTTAAAAATATTTTAATCACATATATAGTAAATTTTGAAAAATAGAGAGCATATCCTTTTTAATAATTGAATCTACCTTTATGTGGTATATCATTAAATAGTTCTAAATCTATACACAAACATAACTATTTTTTTTATAAGCTTCAAATGTTTTGTTAAATCTAGCTGTAATCCTCTTCTTTCACCCAATTTTTTTTTTTTTGAGATAATCTTTCACCCCATTAAATTACTTTTCAGATATCATAGATGTATCCCAGATACGCTCTAGATACCCAAGGATATGTTCATACTTACATGTACACCTATATATATGCATACATACACCCCCAACCTATGCAAACAAGATCCACAATACCAACCAACATATCAAACAATGGCAAACAGACAACCCCCAAAAGAACAAAACCCTCATCAGAAGGTACATAATCTCTCTCTCTCTCTCTCTCTCTCTCCACATCTCTTATATATATATATCAGATCAACATATTAAAGTAATCATCTAGTGTTTTTCATTTTTGCTTTTAAGGGTAACGGCAGGATCCAACGTCAACCTAATTCTGCATCGAGACAGAGAGAAATTGAAAATACCATCATGAATCTCGACCTGGTATATATATATATATATATATATATATAGACTAATAAAATATTAGATCTACATACATATACATGTATAGATCCGTTTCTGTTTCGTCTTCTGCTTGATATATCTAACTCTTTGATTAATATTTATATATGTTTATGTTGTTAATTACGAAAAAAGCTTGCTGCCTTTGTTGAATTGAAGTTGAAGATGCTCCAGAAACATATGAGGAACCACTGTAAGTTGTAATAAGCCTTTTTGCTTAATATATATATATGTGTGTGTGTATATATATATATAGATATATATTGTGGTTATCTTGGGTTTGTTTGGATAACTAATTATTATTACTTTAAATTTTCAATACATACAGATGAGAAAACAAAGGATGAATACAATGGAAAGGACAAGGATAATGGAGACGGGAAGCCGGATCAAGGACCACCTACCGTGGTCTGATAAGCCAAACAGATCATAGAGATTGCTGGAGTTTATGATATTATATCTATATATATAATCTAGTCATCTTTTTTCTTTGCCTATCGTATATATGTTTACATATATATGGTGATTAGTAATAAGATAAAATAAATAAACTATATGTAATCGTCCATAAACATTAATGAGAACTCTATCTTTATATCCAACAAACATATTTTATTCTATAACGCTTTATATTTTTCTTACAAATAAATAAGACATATTTGACGTAATAGAACTTTGCACCTACATTTTTGCTTGACGTAATAAAACAAGACATGCATGCTCAATGTAATAAAACTTTTTCATTGAAAACCTATCTTAAAAAAAAAAAGAAAAAGAGCAGAGCATTAAAAACAAGCTTGTGTGTTTGGTCCAACTAATAGACATCGTTTATTCAACTGATAGATTAATTAACATAATGTCGACATTGATTCAACTAAAAGTTACGGTGTATTTTGTCTCTCCCTCAAAATCGTAAACTCCAAAACACTTAAATATCACAAAGTAATTTAGAACGCAAACAATAAATATACATACTAACAAGTAGAGCGTTAAACTTTTTAAACCTAAATTATATATACTTATTGTATAATCAATAAACTAATATATAAATATATATTTAGTATAACTTCATTAGTTATCCAGGGATAGATAATTGACAAGTTCTTATGATCCTTAGTCTTTCTAGGTTTTAGATGGTTTTGATCCTTTGTCTTTTTTTTATTAGCGTACGCAAGTAGAATTTTTTTCCAAGATTATGATTGATACTGAATTACAAAACAAAAAATTTTGTTAAAATTTGATTTTACAGTGTAATCTCTTGTGACCCTACTCATAAACACAGACAAAAACTGAGGATATCAAGTTTGACCC